GCTTGACGGTAACTAAGTCCTGAATATTCTGACCGCTGAGTTGCTGCTGGATGCGAAGCAAGAGCTCTTCAGGTTCGAGTTCCTTGACAGACTTGCCTTGGATCATAGGATCATCCGCCTTCCTCAGAACGTCACCATCAAGCACCCACTGACCAAGAGAGGTTTGACCAGCCTCGCCATCACCCCACAGGTCCAGATTGAGCTGGGTAGCCAGACCTGGGAGATTTCGTAGCATCGCCACGGCTACTCGGCGAGTGTCGAAGGAATGATCCAACATCAGGATGATGTGGCGGATCCACATGAGCTGTCCAATGCGCTGCACGCGCCCAACGATCTGAATGCGTGTAGCCTCGTCAGGAGCACAATCGAACTCGATGCATGTACGACAGTGGCCGTGGAGGTTGAGACCGGACGATGAGACCATGTACGAAGCAATGAGGATCTTGAAGCCGTCTGGATTGGTATGAAAGTCGCGCGTGATGCTCTCTCGGTCAGATGTCTTGAGGTCGGCGTATAGACACTCGACACTAAAGCCGGCATCGACGAGAGCCTACTTACAATGTCAGTAATCTTCTCGGAACGTATTTTCCGTTGCTACTTACGCATCGAAGCCACTCCATCTGCGCCGGAAACTGGACCCACACAAGAACTTTCTCGTCCTGCAGAACGACAATGTCGCTCAAGAGATGTAGCAACGTACGAAGCTTGGGCGATCCTTGAGTAAGCGCTATCAGAGTAGCCTGAGTGTCATCTCGAGGAGGGACGTCCATGACTTCGATGTTCAGGCGCTTCTGCTCTTTGGCGATGTCCTTGAGTATGTGCGTGGCGTTCTTCTTGGCTTTACGAAATTTCCTCATCTCTTTGACCTTGTACGACTGGAGGAATTGGAAATAAATCCAGGATGTCACCATACACAGTTGCCGGTAGGTCGCTGTACTCCACACAACGTTCTTGTCATCGAGCGCAAAGAGCTTGTTCGAAAAGGTCTTGTAGACCCCGTTATAGAGCTCTTGCTCGGGGCCGTTGAACTTGCAACTGATAGTTGTGCGCTGGACTTGCGGAAGGTCCTCGTCGATGCGCTTTCCGTCCACAGTCGAGGCGTAGCTACGTTTGATGAGGACTCCTCGGAGCACCTTACGCATGTCCTCTGCGGACTTGATCCGGTCAAACCCGAAGACGTATTCACGCAGTGCGACGTCTGTGTATCGAAGTTGCGCTCTCGTGTCGGTGTCGGGTACCTCGAAAGGATTGAAGTGCTTGAGCACTTCGGCCAGAGGCTCATCGGCATCGCAATGCTCTGCTGGAAACCCAAGCTCTTTCAAATGTGCGCCGTCTCGAAGCTGAGGGTTCATGACGAAATGCATGATGCCAGCAAACTCTCTGTAGTCTTTTCGCCAGGGAGTAGCAGAGACAACGATCCGCTTGGGCGCCTTGATCCAATCAATAGCAGTCCCGTACACTTCAGGCTGGTGGCGGAGCTCGTGACCCTCATCAACGACGATTCTGCCGATGCAACCCTCCATGTTGCCAGGAAAGGACGGAAAGGCTGCAAAGGCAGCGCTGCCATCAGGGTATTCATCTGAAATCAGTTGCCTGATCTCAGATGTGAGCATACCCGGGTTCCTGGCCCTGTAGTCTTCAAGCATCCACTTATCTTGCGCTGAAGGGCCATGGCGAGCAGCCCACGTTGCTACAGTTGAGATGATGACAATGCCGGCATTGTGTTCAATATCAGAACTGAACACAGTGTCTGTTCGAACAAATTTCTGGTTGCCTTGGTACTTGACGCTGCCGTCATTCTTCGGTTTCGCGTTGCCGTAGTAAGTGATGATCGTAAGCTGGTCTGTCATCGATCGGATGACATCAACCCACTGTGCGATCAACCCTTTTGGAACTAGCAACAAAGTAGGCAAAGCAGGTCCAGGGTCGACGCCGACGGATATTTTGTCTGACCGAACATTAAGGCTGTGAAGGATCAAACCCGTCAAGGTGTAGGATTTTCCAGTCCCGACTTCATCCGCCTCGATGGCGCCCCCAACCACAGACTCTTCGAATTGATAGAGAGCATATATACCGGTAGGTTGATGGTGTCGGAGTTGAGCTGTAGGCCGCATGTTGTCGAGTCGTGGTATCTCAGGGTTGGGTATGCCGAGGGCCTTGCACGCTTCATCGTGATTATCGCGCTCGTAATCCGTGCTATGTAGCCACTGGACATGCTCCTTGTAGATCTGGATCTCCTTGAGGGTGATCTCATGTAGCTTCGAGCCCGGGGCTGGGTTGAGGTCTTCTTCGTCGTCGGAGGGTGCATCTTCGTCGGGCTCATCCCCCCCGTGAAGGGTGGCCGTCATGCGGTCCATGCTCATTTCCCACTGTCACATTCAGTCAGTGATATGCAATCAGGTAATTGTAGCAACAGATAAACATACCTCGAGGCCTTGAACATCTCCTCTTGTCTCACGCGTCCGCCGCTCGTCTTCTTCGTCGACCTCACCGCTCGTACTGAGCCCGGTCATGTCGGGGATATCAGTCCCACCGAGCTCAATCGAAGCTGTGCTGTCGAAGTTCAACCGTAGTGCCATCAAGTTGAAGTCGTATCGGCCCGATGCTACGACGCGCAGGAGGTGGAATTGCCAGTAGGGCACCTTGATGTCGAAGGTGACAGCGCCTCTCTGCTTGACATCGCCAAGCATGTTCTCCCACATGGCCTTGCGGACAAGTGACGAGTTTGTAGCCTCGCTCGACGGCTGTATGACAAGACTTGAAGGAATGTCAGCTTTCTCGGTGTGAAGGCGAGTTGTCAGCCGGTCTGTGGTATTGTGAGCATGTCGCAGCAGCTTATTCCAGTCAGTGACAAGCTCTTCTTCGAAGATGAGATGCACGATGACGTGTTGAATGTCTCCAAGCTGGTAAACCTGTGAAAGATATGTGTAGAAGTCGTCCTGCGTTGTGAAGCGACAGAATCCCTTGATGCCATGGGTTGCTTGGATCTTGTCTTCGTCTTCCACCTCGTCTGGCATAGTATCCCACGTTACGCGCATGCGCCCCTTGTTGGGATCGAGAGATGTAGCATCGATGAGCTCTTCTTCTTCTGAAGTATCCTCGTCTTCTTGGCCACCTTGCTGAGCTGCTAGCTGCGAGCTCTGGCTCTGGCTCGATTTCGGCTTGAAGGGTGTGCCGACGCCGGCGCGCGAGCTGGCTTGGCTCCAGATAAGGTGCATGATGACATACCAAATGCTCCGGACACGCTGTGCTTCAGGAATGTTCTTGAGATAGAAGGCACCGCCGATGTGCTCAGTGTTGGCCCTCAACATGTGAAAAAGTAGCCACGCCAAACAATCGATGTAGTCTGGGTAGTCTTTGGTACCCGACCGGAATGCAGAGAACCTGCACTGACCTCCAGATTGGCCATCTCTGAGACGCCGGTAAACGACAGGATGATCCCATTGTTTGGCTTTGGTAGGCTTCTTGTTGTAGCCGTCTTTCAGAAAATCATCCCAAAAGGGAGCGACCATGTCAGAAGCGAGCCATTGATTGAAGGCCTTGCGGCTATCGAAGCACAGTTCCGCTGCAAGAGATGTCTTACTGTATTCGATACGCGCCGGTTTCTTCTTCGACGGGGCTGGTGAACCTGGAGTTGCTACAGTCTTCTGCTTCTTCGCCGGTTGGCTGCTGGACATGTTTTGTAAATGTAGCTTCGTGGAGCGCGTCTCAAGGCTACCGCGCAGTCAGTATGTATTTTGAGCACCACTCATCGGGAAAATTGACTCATACTGGTGCTTTGGGGCTGATAGTATGTCTGGTGGCGCACTTCTGATTGCGCAGTCGGCTTGGCGAAAGCAAAGCTTGAGGGGAGGGTAAGGCCGGAGATATGCTTGCAGCGTATGTCAGCGCTTCAAAGGACAGAAGGTTTGGAGGTCGTGAGGGTAAGAGAGGGCGAGCGCGCGAAAATTTGCTTATGTGCGTGATCGGAGGTGAAAGCGAATAAGGCTATCCGAAGAGCTTCTGCGTGCATCATGGCAAACGGACCCTCTTTGAATCACAACAGCGCCGCTCATTCCTGACGAGTCAAAACCATTGCTGCCTAAATTAGGCCCAATCGGACAATTGTAAGATGTCCTTTGTGCGTTATGCGCGGTAATTCACCGCAGTTTTATTTTAAGTCACGCGCAATCCGACTCCTAACTTACAGCTCCATACGGCTCTATTATACATCACCAAGCTGGCACCATTACTATACTCTTGCATCAGGCGAAGTTGAATGAGGCTTGGGTAAACAGTAAGTAACAGGGTACCGCCTAGGTGACGAGTAGCAACCTTTGAGTTACGTTTGCACATGCTGAGTATTTTGGAAATAGATAGAGTCTGGGATAACCTAGTCACAATTTATTCATCTATATGCTGGAATCCTCTAATCTATCTTTGCCGAAACTCCAGTCACAAAGTAACAAGAGGTCGTGCTGGAGTCATGTCTGCATCCGACGTTTGTTGCCGTAAAGATGACTTGTAGTACAGCTTTGATATTGTTGCTCCGTAGGTAGGCGTGAAGTAATCGCGAACGCTGGTTACAGATCTTTGTCACACGGAAGTTTGGTGCATCTCTATCAAAAGCCAATAGCCTCAAACCCGTCGCAATGCAAGCGATAGTCCGCTACTCACATATCAACAAACGGGTAGAGGAATAGAAGCGGTGCAAAAACGCGTCAGTTAGGCTCTTGATGTGATCAAATCATGATATCTGCAGCCTTAGCATTTATCAATACATAGTACCGATAATACTTACGCCTTTATCTACAATCGTATCCATTTTGATGTTCCTCATGTCCGGTCAGCTGATCTCCCGTCATTCCTTGATCTGACAAGAGTGGAGTTAGTGAATCTTATAGGGCTGTAAGACAGATCCACGAGGAGATTGCCAAGATGTGATAGACTGGAAAAAAGCTGAATATAAACAATCGATATGAGACACATTTCATCAGTCAGTACAACAAAGTACAATGACCGGATAGGTGGCCGAGTGGTTAAGGCGCTAGCTTCAGGTGCTAGTGGAGCAATCCGCGCGAGTTCGAGTCTCGTCCTATTCAATATCTTTTTGCCCAGGCATCGAAGCAATCGCCTGTTGAGGTTTTGCGGGCCGAGCGGTTAAGGCGCTAGCTTCAGGTGCTAGTAGAGTAATCTGCGTGGGTTCGAATCCCACTCTGTTCATTATCTTTTTTGCATTTCTCACATCCTGAATTGCTGTTGTGGTTGTTAATTCTAGGTGCAGCACTAGCACGTGACCCATCGTGCTCTAGCGCGCGCGGGGTCCACGCGGGAGTGGGGCTACCGAGATTGGCCCGCGCAGCCATCCCATCTCGCGTGGAACGAGCAGCAATCGCGTTGATGTGAACCACGGCACCTTCTTTTTGCCGGGGCGCAACAGCGGCCATGCACGCCCCTGCCGCTCACGATAGCCCGCAGTTGCCGTGATAACGACCTTTGCGTTGTGGAAAGCCACACGCCTGGATATGGGAAGGTGAGCTTGGCCTGGTCTTGGGGCGCCTCGAGGATTCGCGGCTGATCTGCCCTCAACCATGTTCGAGTCCCGCGATCGCATGAGACACTCACTGCTCTTCTCTATCCATTTCATGCCCTGAACTTGACATATTGTTACCCGCTGCTCTCGCAGGAGCGGCTTTCCATCGCTAAAACGTACTGTGGGCGGTTGACCTTCAGACCACCGTCGTTGCATGTAGACCGCGCAGCGCTTTGCGCAGATTAAGACTGTGATGTCTCGAACGATGTCTTTGAGACAACTGTGCACAGTCGCACTTCTGTCGCTGAGCGTCTTTACGATCACTACAATTGCAACGCAGACCGAAGACCAGCCATTGCCAGGTAGGAGCTGACTGAGCCCACTGTGCTTTGCGAGGCTGATCTTGACATAGACACATATACACAGGTCTACGAGACCAGTGACCAGAACATACCTCAAGCACACCTTCGCGATTCTGACGACGCAAAAGATGTCGCAACACCTGATGCGCCCTCGTACTCACCCTTCACCACGAACTTACTGCAAGACTTGCACAATGCGCTCGAAACGATGCAGAGCTCGTACTTCTCTATATGGCTGGGAAAGTACACGACCGCAATCGACTGGACCGCCGCCGTGATGTCCACGCACGTCTCAGCGACTCTAGCCTCGCTTTCGCGCTCGCTCACATACACAATGCCTGGGACCTTCGACAAGTCCAAGAACCTCGACGTCGAGGCGCAAATGGTGGAGAATGAGATCAACAAGTACTTTGGCCAGGTTGCGACGTACTACTTTGGCGAGGACCATTTTGCGATAAGAATGCAGGCGTACGACGACATACTGTGGGTTGTTCTGGGCTGGCTCGAGAGTATACAGTTTATCGATGGGCACTCTTCGGAACATTATGGTTCTGGTCTGCAGGGAGAGACCACGATACCGCAGTGGCATGCTCGCCAGTTCATCCCAGGATTTGCTCACCGCGCGCGGGTTTTCTATGAACTTGCAGAGAAGGGTTGGGATTGGCGGTTGTGTGGCGGAGGCATGACGTGGAATCCACGTCTGTTGCCGTACAAGAACGCTATCACCAACCAACTCTTCATATCAGCAAGTATTGGTATGTACCTGCATTTCCCAGGAGACACGAACTGCTCGCCGTTTCTCTCGCAGTACGACAAAATCAAAGACGACAAGGGCAGAAAGCCAAACGACAAGCTTCTCCACGCGCAAGAGCACGGCGATCGATGTGAAGAGAACACTAGCGGAGAGAGCTCGTATGATCCTGTCTACCTGGCTAATGCAATCCACGGCTATGACTGGTTGAAGAACAGCGGCATGACGAACCGTCAAGGTCTCTACGTAGACGGGTTTCACATCGCCGGCTATCGCACAAACCACAGCAAGACCGAGTGCGACGAACGCAACGAAATGGTGTACACATACAACCAAGGCGTCGTTCTCTCTGGCCTGAGAGGTCTCTGGGAAGCAACAGGAAAACAGAGTTACCTCGAAGACGGCCACGAGCTTGTCCGTAACGTCATCCGCGCCACGGGCTGGGAGGACGAACACATTCTGACTCCGGTCTCTGCCCACCCTGAGAGGCCCGACGAGATCCCAGAGGCGCAGCAAGACGTCCTCACCAGATGGGCCAGCCTCGGTGCAGATGGCATTCTGGCCGAGGCATGCGATCCGTCCGGGACATGCAATCAGGACGGCCAGACGTTCAAGGGCATCTTCTTCCACCACCTCACGACTTTCTGCGCCCCGTTACCATCTGTACCTGTTCGCCCGGGCAGGACATATGCAGCGAGTCGAGAGACGCGTACGCTCCATGCTCGAAGCTGTCAGGAGTATAGCAAGTGGGTTGTGCACAACGCCAAAGCAGCGCTGCGCACGAGGAATGAGCAGGGTCGGTTTGGCAGTTGGTGGGGCGCGGACGTTCATCATGGACAGTCATTGCGGGTGAGACGAGAAGCGAATGCGACGGATTATAGGAATAGACCTGACGAGTATGCGGCGAGCTTTGGGGATGTGGTCGACTCGCTAGACAATGAGGAGGATGACGAGGAGCGTCTAGCAGGCCATGATATGGCCGGCGACACAGATGAAAACGCGCACTCGAGCAGCTCTCGTGACTTGAACGACCGCAGACGAGGTCGGACGGTCGAGACGCAGGGAAGTGGCATCGCGGTGCTGAGAGCGATGCTGGAATTCACAAAACTGGGTGAGGGCGATGGGAGGATTGTCCCGTGAGTTCTGTAATGCAGGATTAGACACACGCATCGCTCTAGCAATCAACACACTCGATAGCACAGGATATGAACCGACTTGACACGACGCCACGTATTGACAGTAAGCAGACACGCTTGGTCCTTCCGTTCTGAAGCTGCGACTCAGTCACCTCCGTACCCAGATCGAGGCCCGAGTGACGAAAGAAGCGAGCTTACGCCGCGGGGTGTCTGTGTCGGCGTCATGTGGAGAGTCGTTGTGCTCTTGATCTGGGTAATTGTTCTAGAGGCTTGATCGGGTCAGCAGCCACAGGTAACTGCGCGGTCCAAGCCAGCTTCAAATGCAGGGTATTGCTCCTTCCCCGCATCTATGAACTCTATTCAAACTTTGAGAAACGCCTACATTTTCAGTCAGTCATGTGGAGTTTTTTGGGCGCTGAGAAAGTCTCCGAGAGTGGTTGGTTTTGTAATTCTATCACCGCGAAATGTCTCCGGGAGCACACTTCTTTGTCTCCGCGATATGCAGCTTACTCCACTCCAGCACATGCAGCCCTGGATTTCTTACAGTGGATTGGCGAGTTTGTCTTGGGAGGGGAGGTGAGATATAAGCACTACTCAGCACACGAGTTATTTAAACCCCGCTGCATGGAGTTGTGGATGTATACATTTTCCTCAGCTACATCTCTCCGTTTTTGAGTTCACTCCGTCACAAGTTCCAGTCAACTCCATCATCTACCGCCGTCGCCCATCCATCCAACATGGCCGCCGAACCCGCCACCAAATCCGAGCCCGCCCTGAAATGGGCATGGCAGACCTCCAACATAGCGCAACTCTACAAATCGGCCGAGAACGCCACGCGCCCCTTCGCAGCCATCATGGTATCCAAAACCAACCTCCAGCACAGCGTCGCCTCGTCGCCCGCGTGCATCTTCGACCTAGCGTGCGGCACCGGCGCGGTCGAAGCAGAAATCTACGCTGCGGTCGAGCAGCGCAATTGGGACGCCGTCGAGATCCTAGCTGGAGACATCAGCGCGCCGATGCTGGAGTACCTGGACGCGCGGGCGCAGCGCGAGGGCTGGACGGGCGTGACGACGCGGGCCGTGGATGGCGCGAAGCTCGAGCTGAGCGGCCAGGAAGAACCCTTCTCGCATGTGTTTGTCGGGTTCGGCATCTTTGTCCTCCCGCCCGGTACCCTGCGTACACTCGCGGCTCGGCTGCAGCCCCGGGGCGCGCTCGCGGTTACGACGTGGGCTAAGGTGCCGTGGTATCGGCTGCTGGAGAAGACGTACGCGCGCATCGAGGACGGGCCCGAGGTGCCGTCAGTGGCGCAGCTTTGGGGCATCATGACGAATGGGGAGCCGTGGTTTGAGGCGGATTTTGTGGAGCAGCAGCTGCTGGAGGCTGGGTTGCAGGGGGTCGAGACGGTGCAGAGGAAGTTGAAGATTGACTGTGGAACGCCCGAGGTTTTTATGACGACTATGGGCTTCGTTTTGGGCATGTTGAGTAAGGGGTGGAGCGAGGATGTGAGGGAGAAGTGGTTGAAGGAGGTTGGGGAGACAATGAAGGAAGTCGTAGTGGAGGAGGCGGGCGGGATGGACAAGCATGTGCTCATGGATTTTGAGGGAATTGTCGGGGTGGGATGGAAGGGGGAAGTGAGAGGGAAAGACTCGTGAGAGAAATTCAGGAGCTGTCAACGTCAGCTGAAATGGAGAGGACAATGCTGTCGTAAGAAGATGTGGTTGGGTATTTCCTCAATGGTAGCCGTAAATGCAAGAACGCCATCGCTATGCTGTGTGAACCTCTGACTTTTACACCTCTTCTGACTGCGTCTCCAGCCATTGGCCAAAGTAGACGCAGGTTCTGGCGGAGATTTCTCCTTCGTCGCCGCAGAGGTCGAAGACAGGGCAGTTGCCGCACGGAGCGTCGACGAAGCCGTTGTAGACTTTGGTGTCGACGGCGGTTAGGACGGTGCGGTAGTTTGTTCCTGAGATTTTTTCGAGCCGCCCGTCGAGCACCATCATCTCCAGCAGCTGCTCCATGTCGTCTTCTCGAACCGTCTTGCCCCTCAGGATTTCCTTTGCGTTCAGCCACTCAGCCACCGAGGCGGAGGTTGGGTACTGGGGGTTGTTCTTGTGCACGATCTTGGACGCGTTTGGGTTTCTCGCCTGGTGGTACGGCTTCACTGCCGGTGCATCCTCAATATCTCGTATCCCCTGCACCTGCGCCTTCTTCTGCGCAATCTCGGCAGACCTGTCGGGCCTCTCGTAGTCGTTCCAGTTGCCGGGGACCTTGATGCACGTCTCGTTCTCGACGTACTGCGCAACAATGCCTGATATGGTCT